TTGAGAGCTTTATGGAGAATATGCGGGAATCGTGAGACGTGCGAGGATCACTCAGTCACTTATGGGGGAGTTTTCTTGAGAAACGTGCGGGAATCACACGGGTTCATACCCGTTTGAGGAGTTTTCTCGGGACTATGCGGGAATCACTCGGTCACGTTTAGGTGAGTTTTCTCGGAAACGTGCTAGATCTCCTAGAATCGTTTGACTAGTTTTCTTGGGAATATGGGGAGATCCCCAGGAATATGCGGAATACGGAAACATGAGAGATCTTCCGGACTCGATTCGAGAGTTTTCTCGGGATTCATGAAACGCGTGAGATATCCCGAACTCGTTTGAGAGCTTTATGGAGAATATGCGGGAATCGTGAGACGTGCGAGGATCACTCAGTCACTTATGGGGGAGTTTTCTTGAGAAACGTGCGGGAATCACACGGGTTCATACCCGTTTGAGGAGTTTTCTCGGGACTATGCGGGAATCACTCGGTCACGTTTAGGTGAGTTTTCTCGGAAACGTGCTAGATCTCCTAGAATCGTTTGACTAGTTTTCTTGGGAATATGGGGAGATCCCCAGGAATATGCGGAATACGGAAACATGAGAGATCTTCCGGACTCGATTCGAGAGTTTTCTCGGGATTCATGAAACGCGTGAGATATCCCGAACTCGTTTGAGAGCTTTATGGAGAATATGCGGGAATCGTGAGACGTGCGAGGATCACTCAGTCACTTATGGGGGAGTTTTCTTGAGAAACGTGCGGGAATCACACGGGTTCATACCCGTTTGAGGAGTTTTCTCGGGAATATGCGGGAATCACTCGGTCACGTTTAGGTGAGTTTTCTCGGAAACGTGCTAGATCTCCTAGAATCGTTTGACTAGTTTTCTTGGGAATATGGGGAGATCCCCAGGAATATGCGGAATACGGAAACATGAGAGATCTTCCGGACTCGATTCGAGAGTTTTCTCGGGATTCATGAAACGCGTGAGATATCCCGAACTCGTTTGAGAGCTTTATGGAGAATATGCGGGAATCGTGAGACGTGCGAGGATCACTCAGTCACTTATGGGGGAGTTTTCTTGAGAAACGTGCGGGAATCACACGGGTTCATACCCGTTTGAGGAGTTTTCTCGGGAATATGCGGGAATCACTCGGTCACGTTTAGGTGAGTTTTCTCGGAAACGTGCTAGATCTCCTAGAATCGTTTGAATAGTTTTCTTGGGAATATGGGGAGATCCCCAGGAATATGCGGAATAAGGAAACATGAGAGATCTTCCGGACTCGATTCGAGAGTTTTCTCGGGATTCATGAAACGCGTGAGATATCCCGAACTCGTTTGAGAGCTTTATGGAGAATATGCGGGAATCGTGAGACGTGCGAGGATCACTCAGTCACTTATGGGGGAGTTTTCTTGAGAAACGTGCGGGAATCACACGGGTTCATACCCGTTTGAGGAGTTTTCTCGGGAATATGCAAAGATCTCCGGGAATTGCGGGAATGTGAAATCTCTCGAACTCGTTTCGGGAGCTTTCTGAGGAATATGGGAGATCCCCGAGAACGCGCGAAAATCGAGAAATGTGCGGCTATATTCTCATGTGTGGGAAAAATCGAAAAAATAAAATCCATCGATCAATTTCATGTCCAAATGAAATGAAATTGCTACCACGACATAAATATGAGATGTGGAAACTACCCGAGAAGTTTCACATAAACCAAAATTCGTATAGCATTTTTCGAAATTATCGATGATCGGAGAAATTTATCAGATGAACGGAGTTTTTCGAACATGTGCGGGGTTTCTCGGACCTATGCGCAGTTTCTCGGACTGTATGGACGCAGTTTCTCGGACATGTTCGGATTTTTCTCGGCATGATCAGAATTTCTCCGACCATTCGGGGTTTCTCGGACTGTAGGGGGGAGCTAGAGGGTCGTAGTCGGAGAAATTTCTCATATGAACGGAGTTCCTCGAACATGTGCGGGGTTTCTCGGACCTGTGCGGAGTTTCTCGGACCTGTGCGGCCGTAGTTTCTCGGACCTGAGCGGAGTTTCTCGGGCCAACGCGCACCCAAATGTGCGGAAAATCGAAATAATAAAATCCATCGAACATTTCATGTCCAAATGAAATGAGATTTATACCACAACATAAGTATGAGATGTAGAGGCTACCCAAGAAGTTTCGCTGAAAAACTCATTTGTATGTAATTACTATGAATTATCGACGATATTCGGTAAAATATTCGGGAAAAATAGTTCCTATGCTCGGAAAATTATGAAACTTTGCCACAAATAAGATCATACCACCGTAATATCGCGTACAAAAAATCAACGTACAAAAAATCAAGTCAAAATTCGGAGCAGATTTTTTTCTATGGCTGTACTTCTGCTCAAACATTTCAATGTTTCCTCGTGCCATAAGTGTTTTGGCAAATAAACATATATAGGGGGTGGGGGGAAATGGGGGCAAAATATAAAGGAGATGGGGAGATGGGAGATGGGAGATGGGAGATGGGAGACGGGCGACAGATGATGGATTTCCAACGACGGGAGGTCGGTACGGTCATGTATGTTCCCCGCTCATACACGATCGTGCCGGCATGGGGATGGTCTGCCGGATGACTATCCCGCCGGTCGGAAAATTTCGATTTCCAACGATGGGAGGTCGGTAAGGTCATGTATGTTCCCCCCTCATACACGATCGTGCCGGCATGGGATGGTCTGCCGGATGACTATCCCGCCGGTCTGAAAATTTCCGGCCACGGTTCATCGAAATTTTCAGTGCCGTCGGATTTACGCACTGAGCAGTCCCGTATGGTGCTCACGTTCGGGAAAATTTATGGTCTGGCCGCGAACCAAAAATGCGAAACCCAAACAATCTCGTTTTTCTCTCATTCCCCGATTTTCCTCATTCCCAACAAGGGGAATGGGGGGAAAGGGGGGTGGGAGGTGGGAGGTGGGAGATGGGAGATGGGAGATAGAGGAGATAGAGATGGGAGATGGGGAGATGGGTGATGGGTGATGGGTGATGGGTGATAGAGGTGATAGAGGTGATAGAGATGGGAGATAGGAGATGGGAGATGGGAGATGGGAGATGGGTGATGGGTGATAGAGGTGATAGGAGATATGAGATGGGAGATGGGTGATGGGTGATAGTTCATGGTTCTTCAACCGACCATTCGGAGATTTCTCGGACATGTTTGGATTTTTCTCGGACTTGTTCGGAGATTTCTCGGACTTGTTTGGAAATTTCTCGGACCTGTGCGCAGTATGTCGGACCTGTGCGCAGTCTTTTAACCCATCCTTAAAGTGAAACAATGCATCATGGTCATTGACATCACCAAGTTCAAGTAAAAGAGAAGAGAATTCTCGGACATAGTCCGCAATACTCCCTGTTTGTCGAAGCCTACGGAATCGTGTCCGTATCTCGTCCTGTGCATTGGAGGGTACGAATTGTTGGCGCAAGGCAGCCTTGAATTGGTCCCATGTGGTGACCCGGCGTTCTTGGTCCAACAATGTCCTTCTCCACCAAAGTTGTGCGAGGTCTTGGAGGTAGTTTCCGGCACCTTTGACCTTGGCTAGCTCTCCCGTAACACCTGCACCATCAAAGTATTGTTCCATATTAAAGAGGAAGGATTCTACCGTAGAGGAGTTCCTTGCTCCGTTGTAGGGTTTTGGCTCGGGACATCGGATGAGTTGCTCACGAGGTGCATGGTCTCGGTCTTGGACAGGGGCTTGCTGCACCATGTCTCGAAGGATCCTGCACTCACGAATCAAGTTGTTAACCAAATCACGTAAGTTACTTACCTCACGGTTGTGGTTTTCACGGACGATGCGGAAGTGCTCATCGTTCATGTCTCGGTCAGCTCGAAGTTGTTGCTCCAAGTTGTCCAAGACGTGCTTTGTGGACTCGCTCACAACGGAGATCTCCTGCTCAAGACCATCTGTGCGTGCGTCCTGCTCATCATCAGCCTCCTCAAGCACTCGTAGACGTGCTTCTATGGTCCCGGATTGGCTCTCGGCTGTGCGTGCTCGCGCTCGGGTCATAGGTCCGAGGTCTATGTTGGTTTAGTGCTCTATGATGTGCTGTTATGTGAGCTTTATTATGATACATTTGATGTATTGACACTTTCTATGGTTTTATGGATTAGTGTTTGATTCATTAGATATTGTGCATGCTTTAATATGTTATGAAATCCATGTATTGTTACGAACAATACTAAACTTCCTAGTCATGTATCATTGTGGGAATAATGATATACTAAGACTAGTATGATGTGTGATTGATGATCATATAGATGATCATAGGTATTGGATACGATCACAATCATAGGTATTCGTTGGAGAATGGAATACTGGATTGACCCGCATGAGATTGTCACATGGACTAGCGTCATGACTTCAATCTCATATGGTGGTTCCATGATTGGATCCTAAGACCTGAGATATCTACGGAATCCAACATGAGGAGTTGAGTGCTTTGAATACGTCAAACGTCATGCGTAACAGGAGGACTATAAAGGCGTGTATCAGGTACGAAACGAATCATGTGTTGGATTGTAGATAGTAAAGACGGGATTTGTACCTCTCGTAAAAGAGAGAGATATCGCTGGGCCCCTCGTGTGAGTGAGACTGTAGAAATGTGTGGCCGCACTATAGACGAGCGTCGTCTATCTCAGACAGTCGAACTCAGTGAACGAGAAAGCAGTCGAATCAGATAAGGTGGCTTGTCCATGCCTTATGTTCGACATATGATATCGCGATGCAAAAAGGATCATCAACCGGAATCATCACTGGCGTTCGTAAGATCACGAACAAACTCTATTCGAGATAGGTAGTCATAGTGTCTTCTAGAGACCGCCTATGACTTGTATATCTGAAATAGAGATTTCAGGTTATACTGCTATATCGAATAAGCCTACAGGGTCACACACGCAGGGAAGGACAAATGCACGAGAGAAAACGACGGAAAAACCGAGACAGAAGGGTCTGGAACGGACGGACCAGAAAGTCCAGAACGGACGGTCCGCCAGATCTAGACCCGACGGTCTAGAACGGACTGTCCGGTCCAGAAGGTCTGGAACGGACGGGCCACTTAACGCAGACCGTCCGTTCTGCATGGCTGGAATGGACGATCCACGTGTATTTCTGGACCGTCCGTTCCGGCTTTCGGATTTTTCGAAAATTAGACCGAATTAGGGTTAAATCACCTTATAAGAAGGAGATTAAAACCCTAATTAATTAAGAGACTTTTTGAGTCGTCTGGTACAGAACTTTGAGAGCTTTTGGGTGAGATCCAAAGAGTTCTAAGAGTTCCAAGTCTCGTTTTCTCGAAGCGCGAAACCGAATAGCTGATTCGGGTCCTAGCAGACAAGTTCCAACCGTTGGAATCCATCCCGAGGTGTGGATACGTGTAGAGGGCGAGGTACTCTTCCTCCCTTTCGTGATCAGACAAGTTCTTCAATTGATACAGGCCCCGGATCGATTGAGGTAAGCGTTCTAACGTTTCTACGATTCATAGAAGCATGGTTCTAGGGTTTCATTCAAATTTTTGTTTTATATCTGCTGCGCAAACCCTAGAATCGATCTCTTAGGAATAGGATTCGCTCTAGAGATTACAGGAATCCCATCAGTCTATGCCTCGTCCTCGACCATTCTCAGCCTCGGATGTGTGCTCCAAGGGTTGGTTGCTAGCTCCTTCATGGCTCGACATGCTGTCGGATCTCCTTACTTTCTCGGATTCTCGGATGAGTAGATGTGCGGAAGCGGGAATGAGACTTGGTCCGTTTGTGAGCAAACCAGGCTCTGATACCACAAATGTCACGGGCCTAAGGGTGAACTAGCTGATCCGTGAGGCAATTCGGCCTGATGGGAAGGAAGGAGGCAATCCGGATGTGCAGTGGATGTGTGAGGATGCCGAGAAGCCCAACTAAGCCTTCTCAAGGACAAGGATACCAGAGATTGAGGATAGAAGGTCGACAAAGGGGGAGAGATCCGAGAAAAGAGAGGGAGAGAAACGCCGATGGTACGGCGGGGTGGTTTTATTAATAATGGGAAAAAGGAACAAAGGGGGATCGACGGCCCGTTACAAGCTCAACACGCGGTGGTTTGAAAGCAACCGGCGGTGAGGAGAAAGGAAGAAGGCCGGCGATGCAAAAGTAGGGTTTCGGAACTTAGGAGCATATTTGGGGGTTTGCGAGCTTGGTTTCCTAGTGTGGTCGGCGCTAGCTTTATTAGGGTTGCCTAATAACCACACAAAAGGAAACTTTACATTTCTCACTTCCCATATCTTCACTTTGGACCCTACTCGCCTAAACCGAAAAGGAAGAACCTAAAACATGCCTAAAACGAAAAGGAAACATTCCTAAGCGACCTAAAGGGCCTTGGGCCGAGAATTGGCCATGAGACAGGGCCTCGGACACGTCCATGAACTTGTCATGGACTATGGCCGAGGTTTTGGGCCAACCTCGGACATAGGCTTGTCCTAAGCTGGTCTGGGCCTGTATGCAACTTGGAGATGAGCTATGGGAGGTCAGGAAGTCGAGTTGAGTGGTCCATGTCTGTTTGTGGTCCGTGCCCTGAGTTGTCCCATGCCAGAGTTTCTCGGACCTATTCGGCAGAGTCTGTCGGGCTGGTGCGGACTTTCTCAGACGTGTGCGGTGAAGTCTCTCGGGCAGGTGCGAGGCCTTCCGAGCTGGGCAGACTTTCTCGGACGCGTGAGATAGGTCTTCTTGGACAGGTGCGGAGTTTCTCGGACGCGTGCGAGCTTCCTCGGACCTCCGACCATCCGTGAGTGAACCTGCACGAACGGATGAACGCGAAAAAAGAAAGGAACTATGGAAATGAAAAATTACCCATTTTTCCTCCTGACAATAGGGGGGCATGATAGTTGGGGTCTGGATGGGTCGGTACGGTCGTGTATGTTCCCCCCCTCATACACGTTCGTGTCGACATGGGATGGTCCACGGGGTGACTGTCCCGCCGGTCGGCGACTTTCCAGCCAAAATTCCGGCGACAGTTCGCCGGAATTTTTAGTGCAGTCGGATTTACGCACTGAGCAATCCCGTTCGGTCCGATCAACGAGAATCGTTGCTCTTCGCGCTTTTGCGGCTTGGATTTGGCTTCGCTCTTTCTATTGTCACCATGTCTGGACCTAGTTCGGATATGTCGGCAGTACGGAGGAGTGTTGTTGGATCCTATGATGTGCGGCGTATGAGTGGTGATGGGATAGCTTCTGTCGGCAGGCTCTGTGCTCGTGCATCGAACTGTTGAACATCTATCCTTTTCAGTTGCTTTCCGAGAGCTAGTAAGCTCGTGGGTGATGTTGGGGTCCTGTGTTGCGTACCTAATTAGAAGGAATTGCAGAGTCGGTTTGATATTCTCACGGTGGCGTGATAGCACGTCGCTCGTGAGCGTATGCTGGTTCCTGTGTTTCTACGCTCTCTGTCGAAGCATGGAGTTGTGTAGGAAAACTGGTTCCGGTCGTACTCTTGGATGCGGGAAAAGTTGCGGAC